GAGTTTGGAGCTACTGAAAACCAAGTTAGATTATGTATATTCTATAGTCACACAACAGTGCTACAAATACTTAAACTGAAAGACAGTTCCAAGTTTAATCATCATGTGGGTTAAAATTTGTTACTTCGGGTAATATCTTTGCTTTGTGAAACTAATTTAAAATAAAAATCACTTATATGTCCATTTTTATTTACTTAGAAAAGCATGCATAATTGGGGTATAATTTCAGATGAGTGTTAAAGAAAAAATTGTGTTTAGTATACATATTTTAAATAATAGTCATAATGATACAGTGACACACAGAAAAGTTGCAAGCCTATTAAGAGTCAGAGGAGAATCTGAGGTTGTAAAAATACGTAAATGATATGTGTATTTAAGTTAACAGCAAAGTGGTGAATTTTTATTATGAAGGGGAGGTCACCTGGGACCTCTCATCCTACAGGGAGTGCTCCAGGAGTGTGGAAGTGCCCAAGTCCTTTTAAGGGTTAGTCTTGAAATTGACATACTGCAACTTCCAACAGCATTTGATTGGTCAAAGCAAGTCTGAATCAAGAGGTGGAGAAACATATTCTATCTGTTGATGGGAGGAGCTGTAAAGTCACATTTCAAAGAATGTTTGTATAAACAGGGATGAAAATTTTGGCCAATTTCATGTACATCTACAACATGAAGATTCTATTAAAGAAAAAAAAAAGATTAAAAACACATTGATTAGTGTCTCCCAAACTTTAATATGAAAAAGAACTATTTTGGATATGTATTAAAATTCAAATCCCTAGGCCATATCCCATAATATGATAGTAAGTCTAGATCTAGTTTTCCAGAATCTTAAATAAAGATATTCATCTCCATAGTGATTTTGATAGAGATGTTCTAATGACTCTCCAGTGATGGTGAGGAAGAACTTTTATACTGGAGTAATGAAGAGTGAGTTATTTCAGGAACAAATAGTTAAGCAGGTGAAAACTGCTCAAAGATTATCCCCTTCATTTGTTACTACAGATTGAGTATTTCTTATCCAAAATGCTTGACACCAGAAATGTTTTTGGACTTCAGATGTTGCATATTCATAATGAAATATCTTAAAAATGAGACCCAAGCCTAAACACAAAGTTCATTTATGTTTCATGTATATCTTACACACATAGCCTAAGATAATTTAATATGATATTTAAAAATAATTTTGTGCATGAAGCAAAGTTTATGTACATTGAACCATCAGCAAAGATGTCAATATCTCAGTGCCCCATGTGGACACTCTGGTTGTTTGGTATCATCATCAGCCCTGACTCTGAATTTATATGCTACAGATAAACATTTATTTTCTTAAACTTTCACATAAGTACTTAGCAGTAAAAAAATGGCATATGATTATAAAAGTGAAAATATAATGTGTTCAGCAGTGCAGTGGCATCTCCAGAATGCTTGTATCAGGTGTTAAACAGCAGCAACAGTAGGCTGAAGAAATTGTGTTGTACACCTGCATTTTGACTGTGACCCATCACATGAGGTCAGGTGTGGAATTCTCCATTTGTGGCATCATGTCAATGCTCCAAACGTTTCAGATTTTGGAGCAATTTGGATTTTGGATTTTCAAATTAGAGACACTTAACCTGTACTATAGCTTTTAGTGTTCAAAGGGCTTCCACATACATTATGCAAGACCCAACAAACTTGTAAAGCAAGAATGGGATATATATTGTCACAGCTGTTGAATGGAGTATTTGAGATATACACATCCGTCTTTTATCATATAATGCAGTTTTCTGATCAGTTTTATTTATGCGATTCAGTTGAGCAAATAAAGATGGTAAATCTAAAAACAACCATTTATTTATTCAGAGTTTGGCTCAGTATGTGAGCATCTGGGATGGAAAAATTGTGCCCATTGAAAGTTAATTTGGAAAGAAAGGATTTTTCCAATTTTTTTAAAAAAGAAAAAAATTAAATTATTGTCAATGTCATTAATTCAGCCATGAAGAAAAATGGAGAGGTAGTGATATTAGCAAGTTACAATGTTCAAAAAATATATTATAGTAGCAATGTTCTCTTATCAAACTTTTGCCAAGCTTTCAAGACAATAAACTGAACTTTAGTTATCATTAAGAAAATAATTGAATCAAATAATTTCAGCATGCAGGACTAAAACTGAGAGGTGCATTATGAGATGATCAGGTAAATATCACGTTTATGTATGAAGGGGTCACTAAAGCACCAAAGGAATTTCCTAAGAAAGTAGAATAAATTTAAATACATTGCAGAAAATACCAAATATGATTTGAAGCTGGAATGTTGGTGAGCTTCTAAAGAGTTCAAAATTTTTATTTTTGGTATATAATTATATATTTTAAGTCTATTTTTCATTTTGAGTTAATACTTGTATATGGTGTGAGGTATGTGTGAAAGTTTTTGTTATTCCATTTATTTTGTTTTGCGCTGTCGTTTGACTGCGTCTTCCAAATTTGATGTTTTGGAAACATAATCCCCAAATTTGTGTGTTGATTTGGGGTGAGGCCATCGGGAGGTAACTAGGATTACATAAGGTCATGAAGGTGGGGCTCTCATGATGGGACCAGTGGCTTTACAAGAGGTAGACCTGAGCTGATACACACACCCTTGCTATCATGCCTTGTGTGATGCCCTTCGCCATGTTATCATGCTCTAAGAAGGCCCTCATCAGTTGCCAGTGCCATACTCTTGAACCTTACAGATTCCATAACTGTAAAAAAATAATTTTTTGAAATAAATTACTCACTATGGTATTCTGTTGAAAAAACAGAAAACAAAGAAGAAATTTTATTTCATTTTTATTTTCTTTCAGCATAATTTTATTCACTTGTTTAGTACTATTTGTTGAAAGATTATCCTTTATCCAGTAAATTGCCTTTGGACCTTTGTTGAAAATCACTTTGCATATGTGAAGACCTGTTTTTGAGTTCTGCACCATTAACTAATTTGTGTATCTTTATGCCAATACCTCACATTTTTCATTACTATAGTTTCTAGTTTGCTGAGAGTTTAAATTGGAAATGACTATGAGATTTCATCCAGTGCTTTTTATAAATATTTTCAGGATACATACATATATATATATATATATATATATCTTATTTTAATTAAAAATCTTGTTATGGTGCAATGCATTAACTTGTTTGCAAATTTTGAACCATTGTAATCTGTAGAAAATAAGGCAAATGATATTATTCTGTTAGCAAAAAATTACTTTAGTGAAATATGGTTAATTATGTTCATATAACTGAAGCTCAGTAGGGTACGTGCCTACCTCATACTATTTAAAATAAATTTTAGAGCATTTTGAATACTTTTGACTTTGCTTTATTATTTATAGCAACTAAGTACTAAAAATGCAGGTCAACATGGTTAACAAGTTTGCTATCTGAAATAATATCTTGAATAGATGTATATGTACATATTTGTGAATATATTTTCTATTCAATCTAGTTAAAATTATTGTTGTTGTTTTATACCCTACAGAGAACTTTATTAATTTTACCTAAAATTTGTGTAACACAGATTCAATTTAGGCACTATATTTCATAGTTCTGCTAAAGACAAATACAGAAATTATAATCAGAAGGCTTAATCAACTGTGGCAAAGTACAAATGAGGCAAAACCATAGTACATTTATTTAATTATCTAAATTTGCAAACTTTGCCTCAATGTTTAAAGAAAAACAACCCAATTAAATCAGACTAAGGATAAACAGACGTCTCAGCAGAGATAATTCAGCTGAGCTAGTATAATATGCTGCCCATTATGAAGTGGTCTCTTACAGATATTGATTTCATTATTCTTTTCTACTGTGTGTAACTGAGTTCGAAAAATATAATATAACTCAGCATCTTATACTCTGTAAAGAAATGAATATTTTTTTCATTCCATTTGTGTCCTCCAGATAATGCAACAATATGTCTAAGAGTAAATACTCTATTATTTTTGTTATTTCTTTTTTAAAAAGACCTCATCAATTAATAGTTAATCATAACTGATTTATACATCTGAGAAAACAGAAGTGGTTAATTGAAATGTTGACATATGGCACAAAAACATTTTAATATCATCTAGCCATTATAAAATGATGTTTCCATTGTTAGATTTACAAACTTGAAAAATGCAATTGAAGTGTGTGAGAATGGTAAAATGAGGTTTTTATTAAAAATTCATGGGCATTATTTTTTAAAATTATCCTTTTCTTGAGAAAGATTTTCATACTCCTTATTAAGCAGTTCAATCAAGAAACATGATTACAAGAGTATAATGTACATCTTCCAGAATACCTGCCCATTGGTTTATACATGTTCTTATGTTTATGAAGAATATCTTTCTTGTGAGTTCTTTATAAGATAAGCAATAAGTAGAATAAACTGTGATTAAGAAATTTGTTTTGACCAAGAGTGTTGGCTCAAGCCTGTAATCCCAGCACTTTAGGAGGCCAAAGTGAGTGAATTGCTTGAGTTTAGGAGTTCAAGAGCAGTCTGGGCAACATGGTGGAACCCCATCTCTACAAAAAGTATAAAAAAATAAATAGGTGGATGTGGTGGTTTGCATCTGTAGTCCTAGCTACTTTGAAGGCTGAGGTAGGAAGAAGGTTTGAGCCTGGGAGGTGGCGGTTGCAATGAGCCGAGATTGTGCCACTGCATTCCAGCCTGGGCAACAGAGCCAGGCCCTATGTCAAAATAAGTAAATAAATAATACAATGAAATTATTCTAATGACATAAATTAGGATCTAAATCTATAAAACTGGAATCACAGAGTTATGCTGTTACAGAGTCCACACAATGCAGATCCCCCAAATAAAAATCAAAAAGCCTTACCAATATTTCTTAGCCTCATCCATACACCCTTTGTGCTAGAAATTTGCCTTGTGGTCACTTCAATTTTAGCCTAGTGTCTTTGTTCATTCACTCATTCATTTAGTGAGTTAATCAGTCAAAGAGTCACACACTAAAATAAAATAACATTCATTTTACAGATACTGACAAATCCTCAACTGTATGTCAGAATCCATGTTAGATACTAGGGATACGAAGAGAAGTCAAACAGGGTCCTATCCCCAGAAAGGAGACAGACAAAGGAGCTGATGGTTCAGACAGCAAATGTGGAGAGTTGTTCAGGGTGTCATGGGAGCACATACAGGTAAAATTAACTCAGGGATATTGGAGGCAGTATTGGAAGTGAGAAGTAACGCTTGAGTGTTCTTGATAGACAAGTAAGAAATTAGTTTGGTGAGGAAAGTCAGATCTCTCATGGGAAAAACAGCTTGTTTTTCAGCAGCATGAAAACCCCTGAGAACAGGATGTACTTCAAGAACACAAAGTAATCCCATAGAGGGGTGTGCATGTTGCCAGCAAATGTAATGGATGTAATAAACCAGGGTCAAACATGAATGTTATTCAAAGAAACTTGACTTTATCTTAAACAATAGAATGTCAAAATTATCTGCAAGTAGATTATTTTTTATGATCAATTACCAAGTTTTAGGTAGGAAAGAGACAACATTGACTTACAGATTTCTGATGTAAATAACAGATATGGTTTGGAAGACATGATGTTGGATTCAAGATTGTTTAAATTAACTTGAGGTAAAAAGTAGTTTGTTCTGAGCCTTTTTCTGGAAGGAACATAAGGTTTTTGGAAATGTGTTTTATTTTGTAGTAGTAGTGACCTTATGATTGTCTTGTCCTATCTTTCCCAACTCATTGGATTTTTAGGTTGTGCTGTATCATTCTTTAACAGATTAAAGGTTGTTTTAAGGATTGAGTGAAAACACAAACTACTTGAGTTTTCAGTGGAGTGGAATGAAAACCAAGTGAAAGATTTTCAGGATGGGAAGCACTGTTTTGGGTGACATCTAGTACTGCTTTATTAATGAAAACATGTATCAAGTGGTTTGTGTGTGTCTATATCATTAACGTGCTGGAAACACAGTGGTGAGAAATGATTCTTGGTTTCATGGAGCTTACAGTAGGGTGGAGAAATAGACTTTAACCAGATGCTTATATAAATGCAGTTGATCTTCATTATTTGTAGATTCCCTATTTGCAAATTTGCCTGAGTGCTAAAATTTATTTATAATCCCAAGATCAATACTCACTGCACTTTTGCAATTATTTACGGACATGTACAGAGAGCAAAAAAAGTTGGTGGCTGCCATGCACACTCTAGGCTGATGTCAAACAAGGTGACATTCTGAGTAAGCATCTCGTTTCAACCCTGTGTAAACCAGTGTTCTTTTTGTGGCCATTTTGTGCTACATTTTTTGCATTTTGTGCTTTTTCTTTTCTGGTGATATTGTTTAAAACAGTGCCTAACCCTAGGGCTGAAGTGCTGTCTAATGTTTCTAAGCACAAGAAGGCCATGTTGTACCTCAGGGAGAAAATGCGAGTGTTAGGTGAGCTTTGTTCAGGCATGAGTTATAAGTACCAAAGTGATCTCAATGTCAGTGAATCACCAGTACATATTAAATAAGGTGATGTTACCCAGTGACACACACAAAAAAGGCTATCTATTGATCATTTGACAAAAATTTGACCAGTGGCTCCCAGGAACCTAACCCTGTATTTCTCCTAGGTGCAATTATTCAGTATTCACTAACTCAGTGTTGGTGGCAATTTCACAGACCATAACTACCATGGATAATGAGAACTGACTATACGTATAAAATTACAATTAAAGTAGGTGCTTTTCAGAATAAGCAGTTGGTATTAGGTAAGCATATGTTTTTGTTTATGAAGAAGGCAGATACAGCATTGAGTTAGGTTGTCCAGGAACATACTCCTGAGAACATGGTGTGGTGTTAAAGTATAAAAGTAGAATCGATTTTAATAAGATTAAAAGAGAGTGGATGTGTCAGCCCAGAACTATAAAACAGGCTCCTTGGAGAGAAAGCATGTTTTTTATCAAGGATCTGAAAGAATCCAGTGTCACTAGAGCTTAGCAATGAGTCATCATCTTCAAGAGAGGTTTAGAGTATGCAAAAACTTATAGATCCTCATTGAGAGGGGCAAGTGGTGGCAATGATAAACATAAAAAGTATTAGTTTTTATTTTTGGAAAACATTTATCTAGCAAAGAATAACTCAGAGATGACAGCTTAGACAGCAGTGATGGCAGAAGAGAGAAAGAAAGGAGATTAAACCTATATTTAAGGCAATTGAGGGAAATGAAAAGGTGTTTCCCTGACTGGACAGACAGTAGCTAAAGATAAAATAAGGCCAGTAACTAAATTTAGCAGTTTGACTCAAGGTGACAAAGTGGCAAGCTATTCTAACATGAATGAGAAGAACAAAGATAAATCATTTTTCAAATTTTAATCTTATTTGGTGAACAAATCCACTTTATATTCAGAAAGTAGGAATCCACATTTCTTTTTTTCAGGAGTGAAATGAGGGTTAATCCACAGGAGAATAAACAGTTGTGGCTTCATGGTATACAAGATTACTTTTCTTTCTTGGATAGAATATAATTTAATGAAGCAGTTTTTTTTTGTTGTTGTTGTTGTTTTTTTTTTTGAGACGGAGTTTCACTCATGTTACCCAGGCTGGAGTGCAATGGCGCGATCTCGGCTCACCGCAACCTCCGCCTCCTGGGTTCAGGCAATTCTCCTGCCTCAGCCTCCTGAGTAGCTGGGATTACAGGCACGCGCCACCATGCCCAGCTAATGTTTTTTGTATTTTTAGTAGAGACGGGGTTTCACCATGTTGACCAGGATGGTCTCGATCTCTTGACCTCGTGATCCACCTGCCTCGGCCTCCCAAAGTGCTGGGATTACAGGCTTGAGCCACCGCGCCCGGCCATGAAGCAGTTTTTAATGGAAAGAGTGGAAAACTTTTATTTGCCTAATCTATGGAGGTAGCAAGAATTGTTGGTTTAATCCTATTTTAGGATATCATATGCATTTTATTTCTTCTTTTTGATTTTTTTTTCACAAAGGCAGATACCTTTTTTGATAACAATAAATACATTTTTTGATAATAAATTTTTGCTTTCTGAGATTCTTGGTTATATATTATGGCTTTTAAATAAATATTTGCATGATTCAGAACAGGTCGATTTTTTGACTGAGTCTAATCATCTGAGAATGATTTTTCAAAACCATGAATTTATATAGTCAGAAAGTTCTTGAAAGCTTACCAAAGGCAAATCTTCAATTTTAGAGAGGAGTAAAGTGAAGCCCAAAGAGATGAAGTGACTTTGAATTATTGATTTGTAGCATTCCTTTAACCAGACCACGTACCTCCATACTGCACAGCTCCTGCAGATCTCTCCTGCTTCTGAGACCAGACACTTCTACAATAGGTGGTTTTCAGGAGCCACCTTATTAAGTTAAAGCACCCAACTGAGTCATCATCCTCACAAAAATTTATAATGTAATATTTGCTTTACTCCTTGTGGGATTAGCACTTAGATAGATACCCACTGATGATTCTCAGTATGTATACAAAGGCAGTTTTCTGAAAACTGCTACATTTCTGAGCCATAAAATAAACAAGCAGAATAAGTGTAGGTGGCCATTAATTATCTAAAGTGCTGTGCAACGTCGACATGTTTTAAATCTCTGCTTTCAGAAATTTCTGTTTCAAATTTCATGCTTCAGCTATGCTGGTGATGAGAAAAGGAGGCTCTGCTTTTTGTCATGGTGTGATGGATGCTGATTTCCTTGAGTGCAGGTGATATTTTTCAGAGAAGACTCAATTATTTGCGTAATAGTTTTTGCCAAGCCCTCTGCCCTTTTTTGAGATGAAGAGTATTTCAAATATTGTACAATTAACTGTTATCAGCTACTGTGTTGTGATTCATTCTCTCTGAAAGAATATATAACAAGGACATAGAAATAATTGCTGAAACAATTCACAGGTTTGAGATGCAATAAGGAATTCAAATATAAATCCCAAAGTGGGAAATAGAACTTAGACTTTGTCAACTGAAAAAGTAAATCATAGAGGTAGGAAAAGTTATTTTAGAAAAAAAAAATGAAAGCAAGAGAAAGGAGGGAAGTATACTACTTTCTTCACCTTTATAAGAGACACAGCTGAATATCAGTTACACCAGCTTTGTTTTTGCTTTGCTTCAGAAATCTTCAATATGAACACTTTAAAAAAAACCTAAAAGTTAACCTGAGAGGAGTTATTTAAATAGAACTGATAAGCATTATAATGGGCTAATGAATCTGGAAGCAAGTCAGATTTCATGTGAAGTTTATAGTTCTTTGCTGGCTGGATTTTCAAATCACATTCTATCTTTATAACAGCCTTTAAACTGCTGTATTCCAGGTTCCGTCATCTCTTCTACTTCAGATCTTCTACACTTGTCCCTGAAACTTAATTCTCATGTGCGGTTGGAGTGTTTTGGCACCTCTGTGGTACTATTTGAAAAAATTGGATGAATAATAGATGAAATGTTAGGTCTGGAGTTCATCTCCAATTAGGTCTGGAGTTCATATGCCATAAGATTCACTCTTAGAGAGCATATTTAAATTAAAAGTGTTTTCTACATATCCCGTAGAAGTGCTTCCAAGAAGGAAGTATCCTAACCATGGATAATCAATAATGCTTAAATATGCACTAATTTGTCAACGACCCTTTAAAGGGACATTCAGTGACAAAAGAAACTAAATTAACCAGAAATCACCTCTGTACTTCTAATTTGTTTATATTAATGGCAATAATGCTGCCATGTCTTTTAGTCTCCATTCCTCCCACACTGTAATTGTAGGTTTTTTCCAAATTAACGTATCATAATGTGCTTTCAAATAACATAAATCTTGTCTTCAGCAGTGGATATAATTAAGTAGAATGACTTTTCATGAGCTGATATCACTGAATGTGAGGACAATGACAAAATACTTTCTATCTTGTGCTAACCATGTGTGGATCTTACAACGAACTTTTCTCTGGATAGTCCATGGTATTTTTTGGCCCTAAGTAAGTGAAAAAGGGACTTTTGACCTTCTTCTTTAGCCTATAAGCTTTTCATAGGTGGAGACTCTGCAGATTACTGAATTAACTCATTTACACTTTAACATTTAGAATTTTACTAAAGTATTTGGATGCACATGGCTAAAAAAATCAAATAGTAGAGAAAGGCATATCTGTTAGTAATGTTTACAAATGTGAGTAACACAAAACCAACTAACTA